TTGCAAACGCCTATAGGCGAAAATGAACAGTGATTTCGTCGGAAAACTCTTGCAAACGCCTATAGGCGAAAATGAACAGTGATTTCGTCTACCCTCGTCACCATCCAAACTTTATCGCATGGTCACAGTTGTCCGGTAGCGTTTCATTTTTTTTTTTTTACAAATCCAAATTACTTGAAATTTGTAGCTTGTGTACATCTTAGTGAGTCGTACTTAATAAAAATATGAAAAAAAATAATTCATAAAATATAGATTGACCAAAATATCTCAAAAAATTTACGGTGGTATTTTGGTCAATTTATATTTACAAATTATTTTTTTATATTTTTATTAGGTACGCCTCACTTAGATGTACACGCTCCAAATTAAAATAAAGATTTATAGGGTCGGATTTATAGGGTATGTATTAAATGTATTTAATAAAAAATTTGATGTTCACAATAACGTACAACAATTGAAAACTCACTGTGCTATACTTAAGAAGCAATATTGTATTGCGAAAAACCTTATTAAGCAAAGTGGTTTCGATTGGGATGACCATGCCCATGTTGTAACTGCTCAGAATGGTATGTGGGATCGATATCTGCAAGTAAAATTTTAGTGTTGATTTGAAATTCTTTATTTTTCTTTGGTTGTAGTAGGAATTTTTTTATGTCAAAGACGTTTGGAAAGCTCACATATCTAAGCAAACAGGCCCATCTTGAATCAAAACCATTTAGCAAGACAAGCTTTCCCCTTTATGATTAACTTACCTTACTACTAGAAGGTAAGTCTTTCCATTGTATTAATACTATTTATTTCTTTATTATATTGCACTACAATTCTCATTAGAATATGATATTTTATGCCTATAGGTAAATATGCCACAGGGAAATACCAATTATCGATTATTTGTCAAAAGCCATTAAAAGATGACATAATTAAACATGAAATTGAGCAAAGTCCACAGTCATATCCACACTATAATATAGATGAGAATGAATTGAGTTCTCCGGATGATATGCCTATGGATACCTCTGAAAGGAACAAACGTCAACCTATTGTAAAATTAGTTCCATATCGTGGTAAGAAAGTGAGGTCTAGCCTTACAAGTAGATTAGCAGCAACTGTTGAAAATTTAGTCAGAGCAGACATGTCAACCTCACAAACAGTGCAAAAGCCTATAGAAAATAAAGAGTTTTCATATAAGAAGTGCTTGATAGAATTGCAGCAGTTGGATAACTTAAATCAAAGTGGGCGTGTGCAAACAATAGATTTACTTGCTAATGAAAAGGTGACCATCGCATTTATGACTCTCAAAGGAGAACTTCGTTTGGATTGGCTACGTTCTAAATGTCACGGAGTAGAGTAGACATCCGGTTTGTATTTTTGAATTATTTTGTATGTGGGAACTCTTTATTAATGACTTGAAGAACTTTCTAATCTATGTATGATTTTGGGACTTGAATGTTTTTAGTAACATGAATGAAATTTTTGCTGACTTTTAAATTGGGTTCACTAGTGAAAGTATTATTTTCTTTAGCATTTCTGGTCTGATGTATATGTCTGTTTGAGTTAGATCTATTTCTCAAATAATGCATTTATTCACATAATTTTTTTCAATTTTTTTAGAATATCTTCATTTTTTCTATACAGAGAAGGCAAGCACAATCAACAAAGAAACATGATTAAGATGGAATTGGCCAAACAACATGAGAAGCAACGGCTTAATTCTTGCACTTGCTCTTTGCAGTTATAATGATATTTATGTAAACAAGATTCATCTTCATAATTCATCTCTATCTGGCGATGCATACATGGAAGAAATACTTAAAGGTCATAGGAGACGATGCCTTCAAGTTTGTCGTATGGAGTTAAATGCATTTCAAAACTTATGTGAGATTCTTCGAGATAGACATCTTTTGAATGATACTCGAGGTGTAAAGGTTGAAGAGCAGTTGGCAATGTTCTTATACATCTTGGGGAAGAGCTCAAGCAATCACACAGTCCAAGACCGGTTCCAACACTCTAGTGAAACCGTTAGTCGCTATTTTGAGAGAGTTCTCAATGCAATATATAAATTATCATTTGATTATCTTTATCCACCTTCAAGTAGCACACCTCCAGAAATTCGCGAAAAAATCATGTATTGTCCTTTTTTCAAGATATTTATTTTAAATTTATGTATCTTTTGATAATTTTGGGAAACTGATGATTGATTTTAATTGAAGTTCTTTTTTGCTTTGTTTTTTGAAGAATTGCATTGGGGCAATAGATGGTACCCATATTCATGTGAGTATTGGTGTTGATGAGCAATAGATGGTACCCATATTCATAGTTTAAAATCAAGGGTGGTTAAAACTTTTTTATGTAGTGAGAAAAATAAAAAAAAAATACGAATTTAGAATTTATAGCAATGCATCCAAACAGGCATATATGGCAAATAAATTTGTCTTCTCATATTTTAATAGACATTTAAACAGTCTACCAACATAATAAAATAAAACGATAATGTTTCTCAATTGAGGCATTTTTTTTCAATGTCAATATTTTTTCTTTGACATCCAAACTGGGCCTAAGGTAGGGTATTAGGAAGACCACTCGACCGGGACCCATACCACCTTGGAACCAGTTCGATTCTGATCAATACCCACCTTCTGGATCGAAAATTCCAAGGTTTTAAAACGCCAAATTTGTTTGAAATCTACTTCTTAGAAGAGAATCACTGTCAAACTAGGTGCTTTCTCATATTTGTGCATTGGAAAAGCAGCTTCACCCAATTTCTTTGAACAGAACCTTGCACTCAAACCACCACTATATAAATTGGCGGCATTTTGTGGGAAATCTTTTTCATAATGTACGTGGTTTTCTATTTGTAGAAAGAGCACATATACTATGCTTCCGAGGGAGGATTGTTTGCATCTCCTCCCTTGCTCAAAACACCTACTTCCACATTTCCACCTTGGCTTAAAACACCTACTTAGAATAATTTTTAAAATTTTAGGAAACACATAATAATTAGATGATTATTTTTTTAAATTTTTTTTTGAAGTTTTAAGTTTTGTGATACTAAGATCTAGCCCTTAAAAAATTGGATAGTCTATATTCAATCTTGAGGCATAACTTTTTTCTAATACTTCTAGTACATAAAGAGTTTATTTAGGATTTTTTTTTTGCGGGGATTATTCTATAAGTTATAAATATTACATCCCTAAATTTGAGATCCAAAACATAGCCATAGCAAGTGTTTTGCCCAAGGGAGGAAATGGAGAGCATCTTCCCTAGGGAGGAGGAAATATTTTAGCTTGCTGGAAATCTTTTTACATCAAATAGGTTACTTGAAATGAATTTCACGATTAACACACCCTTAAAGAAATTGAAAAGCCTGTAGGTTAGAAGTAGTGAGAAGGAATGGCAGACTAAGATTTGTATA